GTGGTTTTGGTATATAAGGGGTAGACGCCCAGGTCCCGTTCCACACCATATAACCCAGAAAATCGACCAACAGATCGGACCAACTTGCGAAGTGCCTCATGCCTGCCTCCTTGCCTGTAAGCTTTTCCGCAAAGGCTCAGGCGCACCCGCCAAACAACACCGCCCCCGCCTGCGTCCTGCATCGCGGCTTCTCTCAATGACACTTGTCGATGGAACACAGAGTTCCACCATGTGTCTATTGTCCAAACGGTCCAAACGAAAGTCGTCGGTGTCGTAAGATGCTATGAGATGCCATAAATATTTGCTTATATTCGTCCCTGCGTTCGAACGCCGCCAAGCCTGCAGGGAAACGAGCAGAAAAGTAGTTGACTGGAAAGATCGAGATGCCAAAAAGAAAGTCGAAGCAAATGGCAAAAACGAAGAATGGTGTAGTGGGTGAGAATGGTCTTAAGAGCGGATTTTAGAGATTTTAGGTGACCTTAGGAGCAGGACGTATACCGCTACACCACTCTTCGCATTGGTATAGAGAGTGGTTTTGTTATATAAAGGTAACCCCCTCCATGGTACGTATCGTCGTGGCAAGGCCTCGCTGCGTTCGAACGTCGTCCAAAGATGATGATATAAATCCAAGAAAAAAAGAGGTCAAATGTCGGGACCAGGTGAATAAAAAGTTGAGTCGAATGGCAAAAACCAAAGAGTGGTGTAGTGGGAGAAAGATCTTAGGAGCGGAAAGAAGAATTTTAGGTGATCATAGGAGATCTAGGAGCGTATACCACTACACCACTCTTCGATATGGATATTGAGCGGTTTTTGATATATAAGAGTAGGCATGGTCGACTCGTGGAGGGCGCTGGTTGCAGTGGGCAAGGTTCGGGGGCGAAGCGTGAACGAAAGAAGGTTTCCTTGCATTCGGGACGAGCGAATGAGAGAGCGTCGCGACAGCGTGAATGTAGTCCGTGTGACTCTTCGGTGTGAATCGTCAAAAGCGTATTCGGTTTCTCGAGGCTTCCATGATCACTTGATCACAGACGTATTCGTCAAAAAAAATCGTCGTGTTCGTCGTCGCAGCATTTCGTCGTGAATTTGCAGGTTGAAGTTGTCATGATGGACCCCACCTCAAATAATGATTTACAAGACGAGACGTCAAAAAAGTCGGAGCTTTCTTTTTTCCGCCCCCGCCATTTACTTTTAGTCTCTGAGCTTCCTGGAGCTTCCTTGGCGGCAGCCCACTACTAGCGCGAGTACGTAGACGTCATCGCCTCAAGCCAACTGTCCCATCGTCAAAAACGCGACCAAGGCCAATCTGGCGCCACTTCTTGCAAACCTTCTCGCTCCCTCCAAGCCAGTCATTGACCTCTCCTAATGCTGTGGCTCTACTAAGAACTCTTTTACGCTTGTTTACAATGGTTACTACCCGACGTTCTGCAAGGGCGGCTGCTGAAGCGAACGATACAGTTATGGATTCTCCCTCGAGATCGACCTCGACGCCTCGCTCGTCTCCTTTCCTGCCGACACCCCTAGAGAGAGCTGGGCTTGTGCTGTTCCCAGCTCTCTTGATCTTTGGGACCATCTTCTCTATAATTTCACCGCAGACACGCGCCGCACCGTACGATCCTATCGCGCAGTCGCATTTGCAAGATCCTAGCGTTTCTCCGAGCTACTTCGCGCGCAAGTCCAATATTTTCAACGTTCTCTTTGTCAAGCGAGGCTGGGCATGGATCACTGTTGCGTTTTTTGTCTTCATTTTCAGCCATCCTAGCACCACCGACACTGGGCGACGTGTTCGCGCGAGTCTGCGATGGGTTGCTGTAACAACGCTGTGGTTCCTCGTTACGCAGTGGTGCTTTGGGCCTGCTCTGATTGACCGTGGTTTCCGATGGACGGGTGGCCGCTGCGAGCTCGCTCGAAGGGAGGTTGAATTCGGCTCTGATACTGTTGGCGATAAGGTTACAGCAGTAGCCTGTAAAGCTGCCGGTGGAAAATGGAAAGGAGGTCATGACATATCGGGCCACGTCTTCCTTCTGACACTTGGTACTGCGTTTCTTATGCAAGAGGTTGGTTGGGCTGTGTTGAGATGGTCTGGCAAGCGAAACGAGGAGCGATGCGTTGTTATGACCGACGGAGCTCTCAAGAGCGCTAATGTTGAATCTGATACATCCCTGGGGGAAGGTTCCGAGCGACCTGCGCTGGGGCTTGGTGGCAAGTTTGCTGTAGGAGTTATGGGATTGAGTGCTTGGATGCTACTCATGACGGCCATTTACTTCCACACATGGTTTGAGAAGGTGAGAAAACCCCGTGTAGTTCTTGACGTTGTAATCGCTAACGATTCCAAGTTTACTGGACTCTTGACCGCAGTGACGGCCTTTTACGTTGTGTACATTGTGCCTCGCTTTGTACCTGCTGTTAGGCAGGTTGTTGGTCTTCCTGGCATATAGAACGAGGCATGGTGTGATGAATTATGAGTGATGCAGACGGCGTACATAGACGTAAGAGAGAACGAATTGCATAGTCCCACTGTTGTAGCATCAATCAATTGCCTTGAAGACGTATCCCATCTTACTTAATGGCAGGCTAACTCTAGCTTTGCTTGATCAACAGTAGATATACAGCCCAAGTTTGCTAACCAGCGTTCGCCCTACGCTCTTGATACCCGGCATATCCATCTCCGCGCGAAGTGCTCTATCTTCTTCGTCGAGCAGATGACTTGGTCTTCTTGAACTCATCCTTAATCTCATCCAACAGTCCATCAACCGTCAAAACATCCACAGCAACACCAGCCAGACCCTTTGCCACCATAAGTGCCTTCTCGAAAGCAGGCTTGCTTCCTGCTGCGACTTCGAAGGGCGCAGTATGAGGGCCACTCTTTGGAACAGTTCCATTGGCATAGGTGATCTGGAACATTGGGCTGATAGCGGGGAAGTCCTGGCTGATGTTTCCTTGGTCAGTTGAACCACCGGGCTCCCGCATCTTGTCGACATCAGCATCGGGAAGGTCACCACCAAGCTCCTCGAACCAGCGAGTGTATGACGCAGCGAGGCCATCGTTATTGTTCATGTTGGCGTAGCCGTATGGCCGTGTTGTGTAGTTCATCTTTGCACCTGTGCCCAGAGCACCAGCCTTGAAGCAGTTGTACACACGGTCTGAGAGCTCTTCAAGTTGTTCTTCGTTGGCGGCGCGGAGCTGGTAGCTTCCTGATGCATCGGCCGGAATGACATTGATGCGGGTTCCTGCTGAGTGGATAATTCCATGGACACGATCTGTTGTGCGCATCTGCTGGCGCATATAGGATAGGGCGCTATTGGCGAGGAGGAGTGCGTCTTGTGCGTTGATGCCTTCCCATGGCCCGGCTGCAGCATGAGCTTCACGGCCTGTGTACTCAACATCTACACGATCTGTTGATTGCGCCAGCATGTACGGTGTATCGGGGCCGTTGCTGGGATGCGAGATCAGAGAGATATCAATCTTGGCAGACTTGAAGACGCCGGCTTCGAGCATCTTGACCTTTCCACCGAGAGACTCTTCAGCTGGCGTGCCAAATAGGATGACCTTTCCCCCAAGCTTCTCCTTGCGCATGATCTCAGCGGTTGCAAGGGCGCCACCTAGTGATGCCGTCGCGATCAAGTTATGGCCACAGGCATGTCCCAGTCCCTCCAGCGCATCGTACTCGGCATTGAAGCTCACGATAGGACCATCGCCTGAGCCGCCAAACACAGCCATGAAAGCAGTGTCGATTCCACCAACTGTATCGGTAACATTCCATCCCTTCTGCTTCTTCATGAACGATGTGAGAAGCTTATGGGCCTTGAACTCTTTATATCCAAGCTCAGGGTTGTCGTGGATGTTCTTGTTGATTGACCAGAGCTCTTTATCAAGTGAGTCGATGTATTCTGAGACTGCGTCTGTGTATGGACTTGTGGCATTCTTCTTTTGGCGTGGTTCGAGGGTCGTTTGTAATGATGATGCTGAGGCTGCGAGGAGTGTGAGGCTGAACGCAAAGGCTGCAAGGCCTCTGGCATGATCTAGATAGACCATCGCGATATCTTGTTCTTCAATCTGTAACGGATTCAATTAGAACTGAGTCTTGTGATCTTATTCCCGCTTTCCAATGATCCTGTGTATCACCTCAAACCCGGACGATTTGTAACAGAGTGGCCATCGCATTGCGGACATGGCTATCACCCGGCCTTATATGCCACGACCTTTCTGATCTCCAATATAGCTCAGTTAGGCGAACCACGATTGTCTCTCTCCTCGTTATCACTCCTTTGGGCAGTATCTCAATTGCTCCTCAGTCAAGGACCTAGAATTGTTGCCCGAGACTCCACCTCGCAAATCCCCCGCCCAAGAAGTTGTACAGTTACCTTCCTAACTGGGGTATCAATTAAGCAAATCTTTAGAGTTATCAGTTAGTTGAACCTGGGTCGTATCGTCACCCCGCTTCGTGGGTCTCTTGTTCCCTGCGATGAGTTTGTCTATGTAACCTTAGTCTTGATATCGATAGCCGACGCGGCACCGACCAAGGAGCAGATTACCAGAATGAAGATTGCAAGTATCCGGGTATGGAGCAGTTTATATGGTGTTCTCCATAGTTCTCCATTGCCGTGGTCTAAAGCCGGCCAGCATCCGCGGCAATATTGACCGCCGTTTGTCGACGAGGTAGGGTTTGTGTCAGAGGCCTGTATATATACTTAGAGGAGGATTACATATCACGGTCAATTCAAGAGACGATCCAGTATTTAACAGAACGAGGTGAGCTCTGAAGTGAAAGGTCAGATGGAGTAATCATTTATTCTGGTCACTAAGTAGTTATGTCCAGTGAGTAGCTATTCGCTGGGTTGTCTCTATGCAAATTCCATATACCAAAGTAGATCGAAAGGGCGGTGCCATTTGTAATAGCACCCGGGATTTATGATAGTTACCTCTACATAGTGATCGAGCGTCCATTGCAGATGGGCTCCCGGTAATGTTTGAGACAAAAAGACTCGACAATTCAGAGTTGTTCATACTTTTGGGTCTTTAACGGGCAGATCTGCGCTCACTGGGTCATCAGTGGAATCTTCGTATGCGGTGCCTGGCATGTTTGGGGTCCGCTCTTTTGGTGCTGGGAAAGAGATGGGATAAGGTCTCTCAGAGGAAACACACGCATGTAACTCCCAGTCGTCCCAATATTCTTCTTCGATGCTTGCAACGGGAAAGACATAAGTTTCAGCCTCTACACAAATCCCATTCTCCAAGAAAACTGTGACGGGCATGACTACTCGCCGAGGGCTGTTGTGATGATAGTCCTGGCGTTTTTCCAGGGTATCACAGATCAAAAGAAGACCTGGGAGCTCTTTGGGGGCAGAACACTGTGATGGAGGACAGCCAATGGCACTCCCTTTGTATGGCAGTACAGTGAAGACTGTAGCGGGCTTTGTTATAGAATAGATATATTCTGTGTTGGAGAAGGAGCCGGTCAGCTTAACAGAGAGAAGTCTGATGTGATACGCGTCATTGCCGCGGATGAAAATGGGCTTGATGGGTATAGAGGCCATGTTGGAGGCCAGGAAGATTGGGCGGAAGGTTCAGAATCGAAGAGATGAGAAATCTTAGATATTAGCATGCGGATGGTGAAGAGAAGAGATGCTGTACCGGAGAGCAGGAGTCAATATCAAGCTGAGATACTTAAGGTAAAGTTTTATACTCAAGAGTATTGTAAGAAACTCCTTTCTCAGGTAAGATATTCATTCCATGTTGAGCTTATTCCTATGCTACTAGCCTTGTGTATACAATGCCTCTTTGATCAATCAAAGGCCCGTCTGTAGCCAAAGACAAGGTACTAGGTGACTAGCCAAGAAAGACAACATCTCAAAGGCAACTTCAAAGTACATTTTTGTTATTTTGAATTGAATTGTAGGACAAAGAGCAGAGTTTACTATCAGAACCTATGGACGAATCGCATCTAACAATCATCATCGCCAGCCTCATCATCTACCTTCACCAGAATCTTTCCCCTAGCATGAAGTCCACCCAGCTTCCTATAAGCTTCCTTGGTCTCTTCAAACGTCCATATACTGTCTTTGACCAGTTTTATGTCGCCACGGCCCAACATATCTGCAACAGCCTGACGATCATCAAGTGTAGGGCTCATCATAGATGTACCCAGCCATCTTCGGCCAACACCACCGAGCCATGGTGATACTGGCCACCATTCATTGAGCTTCATCTGCAACACAGCGCGGAGGAAGTCCGGGACAAAGAAGGTGGGTGGTTTGATGCCGACGGAAGAATAGTTGCCTTCGGGCACGAGATAGGATGGTGAGGCGAGATATAGGGCCTGGTGGCCCAGAGTGTCGATGATGGTGTTAAAGGGTTTGGATGAGAACTTTTCGGCGAGGTGCCTCGAAAGGTGGTCATGTTGCGTATAGTCTATAACCTGCGATATGAGTTAGTTAGCATTATATTTCAACCAAGGCTCAACTCACCTCATCAGCACCAAGACTCTTGACCAAATCGATATTCTTACCGCTGCATATGCCAACAATATATCCCCCAGGCCCTACAGCCTTTCGGAGCATCTGCACCACCAGCGAGCCAATTCCACCACTTGCTGCATTGACTAAAATACGATCGCCTGTCTTTGCACCGGACTCATTCGCAAGCTGTCGTGCTGTCAAGCCAGGTAGTAAGCAACCAGCTCCATCAACAAGGCTCACGCCTTCTGGTTTCTCCACAGCATATCTAGCTGGTATTCTAACATATTCAGCCAAAGCACCTGTTCCTGTAGGCAGAGTATGGCTGGCTGGTAACATTGCAAGAATCTTGTCACCTTTATTGAATCTCTTCGACTGTGCTGATCCAGACTCATCATCAGGATGCCAGACATCGATCACAGTGCCTGAAAAGTCCATCTCAGGAACACAAGTTGGTTTTCGAATGAATGGCGGAACGAGAGTCATCTGGAATATGGCACCTGGATTCAAGCCTACAAAGGCCACTTTGACAAGAATCCATTCCTCTGGGTCTGGCACGTCCTTTGGTAGGGGAAGAGGAGGAGGTAAAGTTGGAATAGGTTGTCTTTTAAGATTGAGGACGTCCCACGGGAGACCTCGTTCTGAGAATACCCAGGCTCTTGATTCTGTCATTTTGAGATCTCGTTGATGTGGGGTTTGTGATACTGGAAGATGGGTATTGTGGCTTTTAAGTTAAGCTATGTTGGGTTTTCAGCCGCACTCATTACTTGAGATGTCAGCTGTCATCCAATCTCGACCAGTCGGCATGATTCCGTTGCCAAGTCTGTGCTGCATCTTCACATAAGACGGAGTATTGACATCCGATACGTGGTCAACGTGCTGAAGCTACGTTCATGGATGCTGCTCAAGTGCAGCAGTTAAGCAGGCACTTAGTGTCCAAAGTCGACTATAAAGATATCGCAAGAGGAATGCAAGAATATAAATTAAAAACACACATTGAAATGAAAGGACTTGATGCTGTTCTTAACATACCTTATTGGGGCACCGACTTCATGTTGGGATGGCTACCCTAGACATCCAGTAAATGGGACCCTGACTGCGATCTGTCCTATTTGCACAATTGAAAGACGGATAGATTATGCGTACTCCTGAAACATAATAATCCACCAACTAGTGAAATCTACACCGTATGCCCACTGCTAGTTGGGAATTAGTTCCAGACAACATATCTGGGGCTTGATTGCAGCTAGCTCATTGGAGCGTTGGCGTAATCTGGACCTCAAATTGCATGGGGTCAACAATCCAATTTGCCACAAAAGGAGAAGCGAGATAACAACAACAAATTTCGCCAGCCCTGATATCGTTGAAAGCAGAACAGAACAGATCCCCCCCGTGTTTGACCCCTCCATCAGAAATGCGCTGTCCCCCCGTAATGCGGTAGCCTAGAACGGAAGAAACCCCTGAGCACCTATCAACCAATCTCCACAGGGCAGAAAATACGGCTGCCTTCAGCGGCAACCCTGCTGTAAGACCCAGCAACCACAGCAACGAAAAGACCACTTTTCTTTTCAGCAAAAACAACAGCGCACAATTATTCGTTTATCCGGCACAATTGAAATTAGCTTATTCCATATCAGCAAAAATTTGGCAGGCCAATTTATGTACATAATCAGACCACACCAAGGCTACCGCCTTTTCACCGCCAGGCACCGGAATTCTCACTCATTTTACTTTTTAGGCACCATTTTTACCACTTGGTCAATAAAGTCGTCTTCCTTTGGCAAAGCCTCAAGTCAGCTCAGCTCCTCGATACCTTCACCACGTCACGTACTCGCACCCCCGTACGCGTAAGAGGCAAACGTCAGCAAAAATGCGTGAGATTGTGAGACTTGGACTTTTCCCCCCCATTCGCTATCGCGGATTTGAGTTTGACTGAGGCTAACCAACCCCCGTTTGACAGGTGCACGTTCAAGTCGGCCAATGTGTAAGGGCCACCCAACCAATTTTTCTGCTTTGAGGGACATGTGTTGAGTTGATATCATGATTGCAGGGCAACCAAGTCGGCTCCAGTTTCTGGTAGATACCACTTCAGGCGATTATTTTTGAGTGCAGAGACTAACGCTTTATCAGGCAAACCGTCTCTGGGGAGCATGGCGTTGACGGTAGCGGCTCGTAAGTGAAATGAAGAGTCGGTGACCCTTATTTGCCTCAACCTAATAATTTCTCAAAGATACACCGGAACCGACGACCAGCAGCGAGAGCGCATCGACGTCTACTTCGCCGAGGCGCGTCTCCCCAATCTCTCTCTCACTCACCGTCTTTTTTTCACTAACCGTCTCCCTTTAGGCCACAAAGGATAAGTACGTGCCCCGCGCGGTCCTTGTGGATCTTGAGCCCGGTCCTCAGGATGCCATCCGCGCCGGTCCCCTAGGCCAGCTCTTCCGCCCCGACAACTTCGTCGCCGGAAATGCTAGCGCCGGTAACAACTGGGCCAAGGGTCATTACACCGAAGGTGCTGAGCTCGTTGAGGAGGCCATCGATGTTGTACGACATGAAGTCGAGAACTGTGAACATCTCCAGGGTTTCCAGCTCACTCACTCTCTGGGCGGTGGTACCGGTTCCGGTATGGGAACGCTTCTTCTGTCGAAAATCCGTGAGGAGTTTCCCGATCGTATGATGGCTACTTTTTCCGTTATGCCCTCGCCCAAGGTTTCTGATACCGTTGTCGAACCTTACAACGCCACTTTGTCATTGAACCAGCTTGTCGAAAACTCCGATGAGACCTTCTGTATCGATAACGAGGCTTTGTACGACATTTACGAGAAGACCTTGAAGATCGCTAATCCTTCTTACGCCGATCTTAACTACCTGATCTCGACAGTTATGGCCGGCGTGACAACATGTTTCCGATTCCCCGGTCAGCTCAACTCTGATCTGCGCAAGTTGGCTGTCAACATGATTCCGTTCCCTCGACTTCACTTTTTCATGGTTGGATTTGCGCCTTTGACCGGTCGCAAGATGCAGGGCTTCCAACATCTTACCGTGCCCAGCCTTGCTCAGCAGATTTTCGACAACAAGAACGTTATGGCTGCTGCTGATTTCCGTAACGGTCGATACCTCACTTGTTCCGCGATTTTGTAAGTTTTGATTTGAAAAAAGATGCATGAGATGAGACGAACTAACGTGAGATTAGCCGCGGAAAGCTATCGACAAAGGAGATCGAAGACCAGATGCTCAAGGTGCAAACCAAGAACTCACAGTATTTCGTCGACTGGATCCCCAACAACGTGCAAACCTCGGTCTGCTCCGTTCCCCCCAGAGGTCTCCCCATGGCCGCCACATTCGTCGGAAACTCCACCGCCATCCAGGAGATCTTCAAGCGCGTCGACGACCAATTCTCCGCCATGTTCCGTCGCAAGGCTTTCTTGCATTGGTACACCAGCGAGGGTATGGACGAAATGGAATTCACCGAGGCCCAGTCCAACTTGCACGACTTGGTCAGCGAATATCAGCAGTACCAGGATGCTGAGATTGACGACGAGGTTGAGGAGTACGAGGGTGAGGGTGAGCCTGAGGAGTACGAGGGCTAGAGGGATTGGAGAACTGGTTAAGATGATAAACTATTCGGCTTATTATTTCTTTATTACCCCCAAAATACTTCATCCCCTTCTAGTTCATATATAGCATTCAAAACTGAAATTGGTTTATTAGGCTTTGTTTTGTAGCCGATTCATAATTATATGGTCCTTTTTAACTTCTGAAATACCTTAATCATGCTTGACGTACATGGTGTCAAAGCCAACGTTCTTCCACTCGCCAGTCTCAGTGTTGAGAGTGAGATTTGTGTGCTTGACCTCTCCGTACCGAAGAGCACCGGACTCTGCACGACCACCAGCAACAGGACGCTTCAAGTGGTTGTCGCCAGAAACGACGGTGAAGTTAGCCAGAGGAATATCCCAGGAGTTGCGAGAGGCAACAGAAGGAGAGCCTGAATGTGTTAGTGAGATGCATGGGAGTGATCAGGTGTTTGAATCTTACCATAGAATCGGGACGAGACCTGCTTAGCGTTCACATCCAGGATGAAGTATCCTCGGTAATAACCCTCTTGCCACTGAAGCTCAGGGTTCTTCTGGACTCTGGCACGAGCAGCCTTACCGGCTGCAGGCTCGATAGGGCCACCGACTCCATTAGAGCTGACAGCTGTTCCAGCGAACTCGACACCAATGCTTCCAGCGCCAGTCTTGTTGTCATATTCCTTGGTTCCAAGCCAGACGAGATCCGAGACCTGACATATATCAGTTGAGTTAAGGTGAGGTTGGCAATAATCCATACCCAGTTCTGGTGGCTATCTCCAGCAAGGAAGATGTTGTTTCCGATATCGTTATCGTACAAATGCTCAAGAGTTCTGTTTCGGTTGGCGACATAACCCTTCAGAGATCAGTACTCGGAACAAAGCCAAAAGACTGGGCATTTACTTACACTCCAGTTGTCACCAGGCAGAACCTCGCCGTTACCCCAATCCTCGGTGATACGCGAGAAGATGATCTGGTTGCCAACGATTCGCCAAGCGGCACCTCGGTCCTTAGACTTACTAAGAGATCGATAGAACCAGTTCTCCTGTCGACCTCCCATGAGAGTGCGGCTGGGATCATCTCGGATCATGTCGATGTAGTTGTCGTTCCAGTCGAGGCTGGTGATGCTGCGGTCATAGTTTCGGGTGTCGAGGATGATGAGATCCAGGAGCTTGCCCATTTGGAAAGAACGCCAGACTCGCAGACCATCGTCGAGATCAGTTTGTCTGATATGGAGGTTAGATGAAGCTAATAGTAGGGTTGGTTTTGATATTTACCGGATGGGCATCCACTCGAAATAAGCTCGGACTGCGTTAACTTTTCGAGTGTCAACGGTGACCTTGCGGCCCTCCTTTAAGAAGGATTCTTCAGTATTGTTAAGACCAGAGAATCCATCTCTGTAGCCGTTGTTGGCGAACTCTGCCAAATGTTAGATAAGTCTAGGGCTATATCTGCGGGACTCACCGTGATCATCCCAAGTAGGGATCCAAGCAAAGTTCTGAGACAGAAGCTGCAGATCGAGATCTGTGCGGTACTAGTGAGATATTCATGTAAGCAAATTTTCTTTGAAAAAATTATGTCGTGGAGAGACTAGCCTGTCCATGGCGAGTTCGGTAGTCGTGAAGTGTAAAGATCTCGGTAGAGGGCTGGCTGGCCCGGCTGCCGTTTGCTCCATACTCATAGATGTAATCTCCAAGATGGATAACATAGTCGTGCTCGTCCTTTCTGGCAGCGTTGCCATAAGCGTTGAAGTAGCCGTTAGCTGGAACGATTAGCTTCAGCTCCTAGTTTTATCAAAGGGAGAAGTGGGCTCACGATAGTTGCTGCAGGAGAACACAGCGAAGCTCAGATTAGAGACGTCATCGTTGGCGGTAGGAGCAGTCTTGGTGCGTCCAACAGGACTCTTGACATTAGAGTCACAAACTTTAAACTGGTAGTAGTAAGTGGTAAGGGGCTTCAAGCCATCAGCTTCGACCTAGATGTTGTTAGTCAAGATATCTCAGTCTCGATTCCAAAAGACCGCGCTCACCTTGACAGTGTAGTCGATATCAGAGGTAGTATAGGCTCGTCCACTTGCGGCCGTCTTCCCATTTCCAGAAGCAGACTTGGACTCATAAACCTTCCACTCCACACAGATGGGATGAGGATCAGCCTTGATGTACTTCTCAGTCTCATGGCTGTAATGTCCCGCGGTGCCGTTCACAACATTCTCACTGTCATCAGATTTAGTGGAGGGTGCAACACGAGTCCAGAGGATAACGCTCTGCGGCCAAGGATCTCCCGAGGCTACTCCATGGGTGAAGTTGAGCTGAGAAGGATCATAAGGAGTGTTACCACGCTTCAGAGATCGACGCTTGACCAACGGAACATCGATTCCAAGACGAGCATGACGACGAGATGGACTGGCGTAGTTCAAGTTGCCGTCGAACTCAGCTATCACAGCTGTAGCCAGAAGGCCACAAGCATAGAGAAAGGCAGCAGACTTCATAGTTGCTATGACAAAAGCCGTTGGATGAGACAAAAAACAAGCTTATCCTGCGTATATACGTCTCTTTTTAAGCTTCTAGCGACCTCCATCCCAACCCCGCCTCCGTTATCGTCCATATTGCCGCCGAGATGCCGGTAGCCAACAAACAGGCCAGGCCTGTACACGTTTTTTCGTCCTGTGTATTGCATCACCACTCTTGTGGCCCTGGTTTGGTGCAACTGGGTCCTTGGTGTCACGGTCAACGAAAGAGGTAGCGATGTGACGTTGTTGAATGTTGAGTAACCAGTAGGAAAGACAAGGATTGTAAGCATCGAATGCCAAGGTTGGCTGCAATCCACGTGGAGGCTCGGAAGTTTTCATCTTGGTGTTGGTGTACTTCGACATCGTGGTGTGTTTTGAGGATCTTATTGGTTGTTTTGGTTGCATTTATGAGGTCTTGTGGTGTCCTGATTGGAGGTGCTACTATTGAGATCGAGGAGTGGAGACGATAACGGCAGAAGGACTTAGCGAGTGTTGATCTGATGATATAAGATTCTGGGCATTATTTAATTAGCTCCCTATCTAAGGCCCTTCTTATGTATGTGTCTATGTAATTATTTCTCCGACACAAATGCAGACTTGGCTGTTCAGGGCTGGAGACTTAGGTAATTTGGGCAATCACTCATCCACTTCTGTGACTCGTATTAGATACAAAACCTAGTTTCACAAAACCTTGGTGTTTGCCACGAGATATACTGCCTTTTTTACTGAGATAATTGTAATTATTTTGCATTGTATAAACTCGAACCTGCTGTTGGTCATGGCTGTACTGCAATTAACAGCCCGTGATATTTGTTTCTCTCTATTTTTAGCTACCACGTGACCTGTATATACCAACTAAGTTCTGTATCCTCAAGCTTCTATTCACTCTCAACAACAAAGAATTACCCGTATATAAATTAGATAACATGCCCGTACCACCGCCTCGGCCTAAAATATTTCGGTGGGCAAAATTCAACCTGGAAGCACTCCTTTTCCTTGCAGAGAAACTTCGAGGTCAATCCTGTACCTGCGATGAATCCAAGACCCCCAAGAGCGGTAGCTTGAACTGGGTTATATTCATAACCTTTGATGATGGGCTAGAATGGGTGTTTCGATCGCCTCGCTACGACACACATATGTTCTCAGAAGAAACTGCCTCCAAGATACTCATAAGTGAAGCGAGTACGTTGAAATACCTTGAAACCCATTGCCAGATCCCCGTTCCGAAAGTCTACTCTTATAGGTAAGATACAGTTAAGCAGGATAAAAGAAGTCCTATAATGACATGGAATACAGCGGGACTCGTGATAATGACATCGGAGTACCTTATATCCTTCAGAGCAAAGCTTCTGGCCGCCCCCTGTCGGATTATCGTTGGACAGAGCCTGTAGTCCAACCTCCGAATATCCGATATTCCATATCTCAGCTCCCACTCTCCGATCAGACCGCGAAAGAATCATGAATCAGCTTGGTGCCATTATGTCTCGTCTTTCAAAGGTCCATTTCGATAAGATTGGATCGCTATTTGAGGACGATACCGGTGGATTTTCAGTGGGTGAATGTCTATCCCCTGTTTTTACGTGGCAGTCAAGAGACTCCCTTGAAACGGAAATAGAACGAGGTCCCTTTAAAGACGAAACTCTCTACCTCCGGTCTTTGATATCAACTTTTACTGCTCATGCAGAGGAGCTACCACTCACACCTTACCTGTTCTTCTCGCCACTGCCCAAACCAGCTGATTACCCGACATGGGACAGCTTTAGGGCTGCTGCCGATAGAAGAGGCGACTTCATAGTCGTCGGCGATAAACTAGAGGGTAGCAAGAATCGACTAGACTACTGCATTGCAGGTCAGATACTCCAAGAAATGATACAAGAACTATCATCTGGTTCGACTGTTTTCACCATATCACATCCTGATCTACATACGGGAAATGTACTTGTTGATGAAGATCTAAACGTCACATGCATTATTGATTGGGGTTCTGCTATAACAGGTCCCATGACGGAGCTATTAGCGACTCCAGGGCTCGCAGGCTCTTCAAAACCACCTTTAGCAACTCTCACTGCTGCTTTTCAAGCCGGTTTTTCAGAAGAATATTTAAACATCAGCCAGGACATGTGGAGAAGAGGTGAGATGATGTGGAGTTTTTCTCGCTTGGTACGTCTTTTATCTGGTCAGGATCTTTCCCTGTTTCAAATGTTGTATGATCTTGTTTATAAGACCGGAGTTGAAAATCCATCTGACTTAAGAGATTTTGGTTGGCTGTTTCATCAGCGGGCTATGGCCCCAAGTAACAAGCAGCTTCTCTCCGAGCTGAAGGAAGATGATTTGACAGACGCTGAGGTGAAAGAACGAGAGAAAGACGTCTTCTCTGGAGACAAATTGGAGAGGTTGGCTGTGGCGAGGAAGCTAACGCTGATGGCTGAAATGAACCCGAGATTCGTTGGAGATAGGCGGCTGTGGCGATGGATCGAAGAGGCTCTGAAGGGCCCTGCTCATGATGATATCAAGGGAAAGGATGCGCCTGCATGAGGACTTCGTTGTAGGTAGTCGGCTTTTACCCTCGTGAACCCTCTGGTCGTTGCATGAGGATCCTGACAGCTGATGTGGACATCACGTGCCTCACACGATGACACCAAATGCAACACAACTGGTGTAATCTAGAGATGGGGGTTGAAACGTGTCTTAGTTGACCAAAATATTAGACTTATTTCTTTACTCTATAGAAGAGCCATTTATGGTATCTCACAAGCTTCTGGATCATGACCCTCCTGCTAAACCTTTCTTAATCCTGAGAACCGTGCTGATATGGCTCATAGCCAGCTCAGTCCTTTCGTGCGTTGCGAGAAGTCTTGCCGTCTTGACCACATTCTTGATCTGTCTCCCATTGAGCTCAACACCAGCCAATTCATCGAGCTCATCTCCAGAAAGGCCACTTCTATTGTTGTCAATATTCACAAATGTCTTCCAAATATGCAGCCTGCTCGTGTAGTCCAGATTAGGATAGTGAATAGTGAGATGAATCCGAGACTCAAAAGCCGGATCAAAAGCCGAGACTCGGTTGGTCGTTAGGAACATGACGCCCTCGAAGTATTCGAGGAGTCGAAGGAAAATCGAAACGAGTTTGTTTCTTTTGATATCTGACGTAGTTCGACATTCGAGAAAGACATCGCACTCGTCAAGCAGGAGGACTGCTCCCCATCTTGTCGAGAGCTCGAGAGCACAGTCTAGCTTCTGCTCAACCTCTTGTGCAACATCACCCAACTCGGCAGCACTCATATTATAAAGTGGTCTTTGCATGATCTCAGCAACTAAGAGGATGATGTTAGCAAGCTTTGGTCAGCTTCCAAGGCATCGGAGTAATCACCAGACTCAGCCGTGAGAGTTTTCCCAGTTCCCGGCTCTCCGCTCAGAAGCATTATAATCCCCCTTCCTGCATTGGATCAGTCAAGTTCAATATTTATTTCATCTCGATAGCTTTACCTTTGCCTTGGATCACATCGTCAAAATCGTCTAGGCCAGACATTTGAGCACCGACAAACGCGTGGATAATTCGTTTGTAATCGTGCGGCAGAACAAGCTGATCAAAGGCTGTTGAGTTCCATATAACGTCTTGAACGAGCTCAATGTCGAATAGTCCTAAGTTTCCTGTAAGAAAACAGTCTTGGGTAAATACCTTGAGCCAACATACCCCATTCTTTAGTTTTCAGGCAGAATCCTTTCACGGCGTTCGTACATAGCGCATAATGGCTTTCTGAAAGCACCTTATTGGATACATCTTTTGAGATGATTAGCATCTGTTAATCTGCCTCGCGGAGCCTCATCTCCTGGATCAAGAGGCATTCGAGCTGTACTGAGATCAGAATACTTACGTGAGCTTTTTGAGCCATTGCTTAGAACCCTCGTGGCGTGTGGTTTTGTTGGTAGAGGTCCATGAGCGATCGAACCAACCGACTTATCATTACATTGCTCATTCCCACGAAACACAAAGCTTTTCGAAGCCTCAAGTGGATGAAGTGGACCAGTCGTACCGCGATTAAACCACAAAAATGTTCTGCAGTCAATGATGATCCGCTCATTTGTCACCTACACAACTGTGAGAAGACCGAAAAAGGGATTCAAGGAGCTTCTGACATACATGACGTTGCCTTGGGATCCCTGAAGCTGTATGAGACAGACTATACATACCAGAGTACGTCTTATGGTTGATCCCTTGCAAGCTCTCAAATAGTCGACCACGCTGAATGAGTCGCTCCCTGACTTGATCAATATCGGGGCATAGACGTGCCGGAATAACATCCAGCTCCAGAATCGGTAAGACGTTCTCAAAAGGTGATATGGTCAAGCTTGTTTCTGTGTACCCAAAGGTGTCTCCATCGGTATCGATGAACCGCACATTAAGCACGTATGCCACTGCTCCATCTGGTGTCTTGGAGTAATTCCCGCTGCTCAACTTGAACAGCCTATCGCGACCCTCGATCTTTGTGTAGACTTCGACGTCGGGTTCAAAGAGTGTCCACACATAATCAAAGGATATGACTCCGTTGTTCAGAAGATCTGTGGCTTGTTCAATACGCGGCTTGATCTCAGCATGAATGATATCTGCCAGAAGTTTGTAATGCGAACACTCCTCAGAGGAATCATTAGGATCGCTTCTCGGGTCGGCTTGTTTGAACTCATCCCATCTATAAAAGAACTCTCGGAAAGGCGCATGGAACTCAAGCTTCTTGAGGTTGGTGTTGATACCCTTGTAGCCCTTGAAAACCGGACCGAGAATCTTTTTGAGCAGTGGGCTCTGCACTGTGATAGAATGCAGCGAGAGCACTGATTCATCAATCTCGCCATGTTCCTTCTCGCGGCGGACAATGAGTGCGTATTTGGCTGAGGCTTGGGATGATCTTCCATCGATTCCGATTTCATCGTCCGTCCACTCTTGCCAAGGGTCCCAACTGCTCTTCCGGTAGATATCTTTAGTCTCAGCAGCCATGCCCACTTCTGCGGTGTTACTCGAGTTGTTTGGATGATCTTGGTTCTTTTGATTATGCTCATCTGAGCGCGTAAACCAAGGACTGCCCATGGTGTTGACCCACGATAGGAGTGTGCGCGAACTAGTATCAGAACTCCCTTTGATGAAAGTAATTGGTCGACTGAGATCAAGTAAGGTTTCACTGTTCACCGAATGAAAGGATCAGCCTTTGAAGTTTAGTTCTAGCACAGACCCAAAAGCAAGAAGAGCGCAGTATGCGCCAGCATGTGAAGACTTGTCTCAATGAAGCGACAAACTGCCCACTCTTCCTGCAGGTAAGTGATCTGACCTGCGATTGAACATGCGTGTATCCGTATACGCCTCGTAGGAACAAAGACAGCTGAAAAGGAGCTCGGAGCCCAACAGCTGATTGGCGATCTGCAGGTGCCCAAAGAAGGATGCCAATCATGACCCAATGAAGAAGCGTCATTTAAAAGCTGGCCAAGCTATTGATTTCTGATCATTGCGTGGCCCCGCCCACCCCGTCCTATCAAAAAAGGGGGTGTAGAGTTTGTTCAGCTCCGATTGTACATAGCTCATATTTACATATCACATTGTCAAATGACGAAGCGCAGGCCTCAATCTCTGCTGTCAGGCCTGCATTGCCGCACTGCTGCATCAACTTCAGTTTGGACACTTCGTATATCATGAACAACAGCTCTTTGAGGCTTTCCAGAGTCCGGACCTCCCGGGAAATACGACGGGGACGAAGCCGTGCTGTAGAACCAGAAACGGCTTAGGGGCGGAACCAATCCGAAAAAGTGACAGCTCTTTGAATTGATCATCATCAGGGATTATAACTAGATGCTGGTACCCTGTTCTTCCGTATCATGAATAAGTCTTACTCACTACCCGTACTTTCTGCCCAATGAACTGAGACTACCAAGCCAAGCATTACCAGTCTTTGCAGGTCTTGAAAATGCTACCTCATTAAAGCTGACCACTGACTCTGTCAGTGTTACCAGCGTGGCGTTGCTCAGTGCACTATGCTAATGAACTCAACTGCAAACAACACGTCTGACTCTAAGTCACCAAGTTAGAAAACAGATAATTTCTTCTACCCCTGTCTATAAACCGTTCACGTCTCAATAATACCAAAAAGATCCAATAATACAGGGATTTGTCTATTACTGATCTAATCATACAAAAACAAAAGCATTTATCTTTTCATTTCAGACCAAGCACTGTATTCCTATCTGAGACTTACCCATACTTCTACTAACTGATAGCTGAGAATCCACGCTTGATCCCTCGCTTATACGACTCCTGTGATATTCTCGCCCGCTTCTTTACTTGTCCAGAGCTTTCACCGGTATCATAGCCATCGTCTACACGACGTTTCCGGGCTGCCTGCATCGGATCCTGAGGTTCACTTGTTGCTTCGCTGGGCAACTCAACGAATGAGGCCTCACCAGTTCCAAACCCCGGTGAATCTATTTCCATGTCAGTAGTCGTTTTGATTTCAGCTGTTAGTTGAATATCGGATCCATCGAGGTCCGTAGATGGAGCGCTTATCGCCTGCTCGCCACTGGTTCCGAGTAGCTCTTCCAGCCAGTTCCCGGTCGTATACAGAAGTTTGTCGTTCGGGGTTGAACGCCCAGTCAACCATGAATCACACATTCTCATCCTAAACCAAGATCTAACATGAGGTTTTTGAATTTGCAGAGTAGGTAGGCAACGTCATCACCCAATTCTCCTACCTTGGAAGGAGTCGGAAGTTCTGGCACCACGATTACGCAGTATCTCTGATAAGGTAGGTTAGTACTTAAGTTGACATAGCTTTAGTACATTTCAACATCTGGCCACAGAGACGGTAATGGTAGAAGGCCTAGCTAGTTCATCCGTTTTGACTATACGGTTTAGATTTTCGGAGAGGAGACGAGAATCTCATCGTGTTCGCCAAACTTGTGTTCTTCAAACCAACTTCTCATCTGCAACTCTATGTAGTCCTTGGAGTGATGAGTTGGTCTTGGTTATCTTGACAATAGCCACCCAGACAGTCACAATATATTTCACACCGTAACGATTTAAGGAATCTTCCAAAATTCCAAAGCTTGACGCTGTGCAGAGACAGTACCCGAGTCTCGAACTTGGGTGTTAGTGTTGAGTCAGCGAAATGCCCAAAGTATCGGTTTCTTTCAGCATCGCCAGGTACCAAGCATAAATTGTAGTTTGGCCCTAAGATTAATCACCAAATCTCATGTTTGCTTCTGCCTCGCCATTGACTAAAGAACAAATAAAGTGTTGGTAAATCAGCGAGTGAAGAGGCCTCGTGTGAGACAGACAGAGGCAGAGAGACAGGGGTGTCGCATCCGTGGAAGCCGCGGAAAGCGCCAAGATTTGGAATACGAAGGCAACAAGGCATCAACCATGCATTGAACACTTTGACTGGCATGACACGACAAGAACTCATCAAAATTCCGCTTTTTACGCTACAAGCAATGAGATTAAAAACATGGCATTAACTTCATATTTCCTAAAACTATATCAATAGCCAGTCATTGCTGTCTTGAGTGCAGACTTTAACACATTACTATCCCCAGATATCTTCAATAATGGAACCTAGCAAACCAGCTCTCAAAATCGTTCGAATAAGCTCTCGTGAGCAACTCGAAGAGCTTGTCGACTTTATTTGCGAGGCCTTCATGGAAGACGATCTATTCTGCGTCATGGTCCCTGGTCGACATGAACATCCCGACGCAGCTCGCAGCATGTGGCGCATGACCCTCGTCGAGGAGTACGGTAGAAAAGGCTCTGTGCTTCTAGCTGCTCGCCGTCAGGGAGAGGGTGGGGAAAGGGGCGAGTTTGTTGCCTGTGCAGTTTGGTGTCGTTGCGGAAAGAGTGATATCGCTCAGAGCTGGCAGGGAGATAACTGGAACAAACGCAAGTCAACATTGGATTAACGAGAGTGGCAGTGTAACTAATCACTATAATTAGGAATTGCCAGGCTAGAAACGGCGTGGACATTGTTCTATAGCTTCTCCCTTCGACAAGCAGGTCCCGGTATCGCACTAGACGCCTGCATCGCAGCAGGAGAAGCAGCCGAGCAAGCCTACAAGTTCTACCCCGATGAGCGCTGGCGCCTCGGCCTCCTAGCCACCTCCCCCAAATGCCAGAGAACCGGCATCGGAAAGCGTCTTGTCCAGTGGGGCCTTGACCGCTGTGAGGAGGAGGGAGTTCCAGCGACGCTCGAGTCCAGTGTTTCAGGACGGCCACTCTATGAAAAGATGGGATTCAGAGAGTTAGGCACTGTGAGCTTCTACGAAGGAAAGTGGTCCATGCCTGCCATGCTCAGACCTGTGGAGGAGGACAAGAAGACGGTTTAGAAGGAAGCTTTGTTAGATTCAAAGGCTGAAGGCATGGTTTGAAGCAACCACGAACAAGGGTGTATGCTTGAGGTGTATAGTAAATGGCATGGCATTTCTTTCTTGACTGTTTGGAAGTTCTTACTTCATTTGCTACACCATTAAACTCGTGATGGTGAAAATGATGGGTTGGATCGGCGCCTTGCGGATGACGAGCACCAGGCGTAGAATGCTGACGGAATCAAAAAGCGACTCTCGACAAACAGAACTTGACTGGTCGTGACTAGGCAGCATTACAAGTGAAGAAGTGGCTTGAACTACGCAGAGAGGTCCATTATGTTGATCCTGTGTTAGGCTATCCTCGCAGACGAGACCCCCGACTACAAGGTTAGGCTCGCCGTTGAACTATCAAGACTTCACTTGGGAAAACAAAATGGCTAAAAACGTGTACGAGTCAAAGATGTATATGATTGATTGAGCTCAGCTACTTGCGTGAGATTAATGATGTTTCCCCTTCCCATACTACTAGCAAGTTCCTCAGATCAAAAATTCCCCGAAAGTCCATGGCGGGCATGGTTAAGAGTGTTGTTTTGAGTTGATAGACCTGAAAACTGATGCTCGCATCGCGCGCACTTCGGGAGGTGAGGTTGACAGGATCATCCTGCTGCGAAACTGATTCTTTGCCTCGCAGGGCGAATTAGCGCTGCTGTCAGGATTGAAAACCGAGTCGATGTTGATCATAGAGGTCTCATTATCAGAACGAATAGAGACGGGCCCATTCTGGTTGTTGGCGGGGGCGTCCTGGTCAGTGGATGCACTGCCTTGATTGACTGGTGGGATCTAAAGATGTCCAAGGCCATGAACATGCTCGTTGAGCTTGTGCCTATGGGGGATGTCATGTGCTGTGCTGAGAGCTAAGTTATGCGTGGCCCCTAGTTACCCACGGTAAGTAAGATAAAACCCATAACTTGGCTTCTCAGCACAGCACATGACATCCCCCATAGGCACAAGCTCCCCAAACATGTCCATGGTCTTGGAGGTCGCCCCGTCCATGATTATATGGATGGGCTCTTCCACATCAGACAGCATGGTCTCAGTACAACGCATCGCATCGCCGCTAACGGTTGGGGGAGACATTGTTATGGCGACGAATGGTAGTGAAGAGGAAAAGGAGAAGAGGTAGAAGATTGGAGAAGAGGTAAACAGAAAGGAGGGGTGCTTGGTCGTCGACCTCCACGAAACTGCGCGCTCCGGCGTGACAGCGTACTGGGGATGCCTGTGTTTACGCAGTCCGGTCCATGGTAACAAATTCCACGAAGGCGTCCATGGTCTTGGAGGTTGCCCTGCCCATGATTATGTGGATGGGCTCTTCCACATCCGGCAACATCCGGCTGTTGCGACCAATAAAGGCCTCATTCTCTCACCCTGAAATCGGTTTGTCCGGAGCTAGAGAAGTGCTCGACCTTCTCGGCCACTCTGAAAGACTTGGCTCGTTCCGCTGACTTTGCAGTCTTCTTCAACTCCCTCCGTCTCTGAAAGACTTTGGCTCGTTCCGCTGACTTGCAGTCTTCTTTGGCTCCCTCTCCAAGTCTCTGCGCTCCTTTGCCTCCTTTGCCTCCTTGACTGTGGGCTTAGTCACGATGGAGCTTCTGCGACCGGCAGAGGAGCGTCGCCACCATCTTGGCTAGAACTTGGGTAGGGGTAAGGCTACCGTCGGTGGAGCCGATGGTCTCCTCCTACAAGGTGAAAGGTTAATATGAGATGATGACTTTGGCTTGATTGAGGATAACTTACTCCAAGTTCCCTGCTCAAGATGGTGGACGATGTCCAACCATACAACCCTCCACCCCTACTCTTGCGAACCAAGAGGTGAGACCTAAAGATCTCAGCCCCCAAGAACTAAAAGTAGGGGTGAAAGGTTTAAATGGTTCGACGTTTCAAGCCTCCCTGTCAACCCCCTGAGTTTAAATGTTAATCATCTGTTTTAATAAGGGGACACGAAATACTTACATCGCTTCCTGACCTCAGAGTTGCCCTCTGCGCGGGCCGCGAATTGGGACTCAATCTCCGAAGAATCATCGGCAAGGGAATTGGGGGGATCCCATTCCCCTGGTCCCTCGCTGTCAGACTCTGCGGCCCCACGGACGCTGGATTCGTCCGATCCACCATCAGACGAAGCCTCCCAGCCGCCTCAGCGCTGTATCTCTTCAGCTTGTCGAGACCATCTTTCATCTGGCGGCCATGTTGGGCCCCTTTCTATCACCCGACGCAAGTAAAGCGCGGGGGTTGAGGTTCACCTCCTGCGTGCATCAAAGGATGGCAGCGCAAGGAGGGTACAGTCCCAGGTCCGGGTCTGAGGGTCACCCACAGTCAAGTATGACGTGGGGAGAGAGGGGGGAGGGAAGGCCACCGCTATGATCTTATATGCGGGGTAGTTGTGTGTCTAGAACACTTATCTGTCAGCTTCTTTGTAATAGTCAGAGGACAGTGGGATGTGCTTACCTCTGGTTTCGCGTGGAAAATGACAAGTGTTGCGTGATAAGTTGGGGTCCATCAAACTTGGCCGCCAACGTGAGGTAAGGGAGCATTATGGCATGATGCGATGTGCTTTTCTGGTCGATGATTTACCGAATGAAGTGAAGGAAGCGACTTGAGGAAAGGTAGTCTGATTGTTTGTAGAAAGGTGGAGGCTGCAAGCTCAGCTCTGATAAAAAGGGAGTAACTTCTGACACTCTTGCGAGGATTCGTGGATGGAGTCATGTGCTTCTCATCGTGCTTGGTATTTGGAGGAAATGGGTAATAAAAGTCGCCAAGTTGGGCAATGTGCTACCAACCTTTAAGGCAAAGTACGTGGGAAGGGAGCCTGTGGCAGGGGCAGGGGAGATGATGAAATGAAGAGAGGTTTCTTTGGTCAAAGCGAGTCTTTTGCTCGTGACATGAGCAGAGGTATTGGTGGCTCTAGTACAAAGGGAATTTTCTTGCAAGAGTTTGTTTGTTTCTGTGATACTTGTTAGTTTGGAAGGATAAGACGCGTAGCGATGTCAAAGTTGGCGCCAACTGGTTGCAGGTGTGGGAGTCAACGACGAATATGGGATTTGTACTTACGTGGAGGGCTCACTTGGCCGCTATATGTGATGGAGTGGTAGAGGTGCCGTATGATGCGTCTTTAGTAGGAGAAGATGGTGTTTTGCGCATGGTAGCCCTTCTGTTCAGGCGTTTGATATACGCAAGAGACGAAGGGAAGAGGTAGAAGTGAAAGGCAGCGCGCTTCAAGGCATGAGAATAAGAGATCGGCTATGAAGGCAAAGAGAAGACATCAAGACGCGTTTTGTTCTCGTGCTTCATTGTGTCTGGTGGAGAGATTGCCTCAGACATGAAGAGGGAGAAGCGAGAGGTGGAGGAAGAGAAGAAGGAAGAGGAGGGGGGAGGGGGGATTTCATCTCCGATGCTCGCACTTGTCAGTTGTGTTGGAGGTGCAAATCGGAGGGAAGGTGTGGGAAGATGATAGAAAAGGGCTAGGCAGTAACTTGCTCATAGGCAACGCGTTGCTAGGGGAAATCAGGAGTGTCTCATCCGGCCAGAGAGAGGCGGGAACTCGGTCTTTTCTGATGCAGTTTTGAAGGTATGAAGATTTCGACACGGGGAATGAAAATCAAACGAAAAATTGCATCTATTCACGAATGTGCATTAAAAAAAGAAGCCATGCTGAAAGTGACTTTCTGTGTTGGGGGTGATGTCAAAGGAGGATGACGGGACGCTACAGGGAGCTCACACAGAATTATGGGACCACGACAGGGGAAGAGGGGCCAGGCACACGCTCTTGGGCCAACCGGAGCGAGCCCTGACTTGCCGAGCTCACCCCACGGATCTCACCAAGACATGGGTAAGGTAGCTCGAGTTCCAAGTTTTGGGAGCTTCCATCATTTTTACCTCCTCCTCCACCTCCTCACCTCACCTCACACATCTTCCCCAACTTGACTACATCTACAGCCATGCCTCGTTTCAAAGCCCCCTCAAATCTCCCTGAGCTTGTCAAATCCACTTTCACAAAGGCTCGCTCGGAGGGTGATTTGCATTATTTCCCCACTCAAGTCGTCATCCTCAATGTTGATTCCATCCCCGTACGTGTCATCCTATCTTTGCTCACTGGATGAATGAGCACCATAAATCTACGAAACCACTGCTAACATGAAAACCAGTTCCAGCTCCGCTTCTCACCTTCTTTGGCAAACAAACCAAAGCCGCCGCCAAAGGACCTCACCAAACCTCAAAAGCCCTTTGACCCTTTTGAGAACCCACTCCCCGCTCTCAAGGTCACAGATCTTGGGCCCTCTCACTATCTCGTGCTGAACAAGTTTGCTGTTGTTCCCGAGCACTTCATTCTTGCCACCACCGAGTTCAAGCCCCAAACTCATGTCCTCGAAGAGTCTGACCTTGAGGCCACACTCGCCTGTATTGAGGCATATGAAGCTGCCAGAAGAACCCAAGCAGAACAAGGCCACCGCGATGGCACACTCGGCGGCGGTGATGGCCTCTTTGCCTTTTTCAACTGCGGTGACCACTCTGGTGCCAGCCAACCTCATCGTCACATCCAACTCCTCCCCATCGCCAGAATGAAAGATGGCTTCGAGACTGACACTCCTTGGTCTGTTCTCGCCGATCAACTCAAAACTAAGATCGTTCCGTTTGCTACCTTTGCCGAAGACATCAAACTTGGTATGTCTGGTGCGGAGTTGCACTCCACTTATCTCCGACTCTACCGCAAAGCCTGCCGGGCTGTTGCTGTTTACACCAAAGATCCCCTCCACCCTGAAGAAGCACCCGCTGAGGGTCCCACAAGAATCAGTTACAACATGGCCATGACCAAAGACACACTTGTTGTCTGCCCCCGCCTGGCAGAGGGCGTCAAGCTCCAAAGCCAGGACGGTGATATACTTGGTACCGTCGCTCTCAACGGCACTCTCCTTGCCGGCACAGCACTGGTCAAGAACGAGTTGGAGTGGGAAGCTCTCAAGAAAGATCCCCAGACGCTACGCAACGTTCTTCGGGACATCGGAGTGCCAACCACATTTGATAATGGCGGAGCGCTTCGCTTGTAGTTTTCGGCAAGCCCGCAGCCTGAAAATCCTCATGAGTTAAGGCGTGCGCTGTAAGCATCGAGTGTCAGCTATCTCAACTCAAAACTACACTTCTCAAAAACACATTCCACGCAGCTTACCTTACAAAGGGCGTGTCCATTTGAGCCAGTCATCCACAGAGCCCATCTGCTGGCGGTCCAGGCAAGCCCCGACTGCATCTCTACAACACCGTGACGGTGGCCGATACGGCGGAGAACGCGAGAGCCGACGCACCGGAAGCAACATGGAACCCATTGGTGGCCTACAAGCTCTGCTAGGGCTTCGAGTGCCGTTGAGGAATCGCCTGCTAAGAAGAAGATCGAAGACCGGCCGGGTCTGGAGCCTACAAAGCTGTACAGAGAGGCACGCAGTGGAAGGCTGCCTTGGGGTTTGGTATTCGCGTCGCGGAGCTTCATGACTTCCTTGCCACCCCTGAGGGTAATGCTTTCATGACTCAGGTTTCCGGGATGTCTGCTTCCCAGCAAATCTGGGTTGTGAGCTAGATGTGTTATTTGCAGTTGAGACCTGTGGCTGAGAGCTTATAATCACCACACAGAACTTGGTGCACCACTGCACGGGAGCCGACCTCGAATTCGACCAAGACAAACCAGCCTCCCCAGCAAATCTCTTCTAGGGACGACCGATTCCGGGGGCGGTCTCCTTGGGGACGACCAGACCCAGGAGCTGCCTCTGTGGGGGGCTGGTAAAATAGCACCTGTGGAAGTCTGCAAGATCAGGTATTGGTCATTGGTGAGGGTGATTGTGAAGAGCAGGAGGGGGGAGCCACAGAGGAGAACGATAGTGATACTATGGAGGGGTGTCCGTCCACTACCACTAACCGCCATTTCTGACCCTTTCAACGGGTCCTGGATGGAACCCTTCCATCTGAGTGGCTCCCCCATAGCTCTTGCAGAGTGTGGGGGGGTGATGAGTTGGTGGAAATGGAGGTGATTACGGGGAGCAAGGAGGGGAAGCCGCCCAAACGAAAACACCGACATTATTGAAGGGGCTCTGTCAACCCATCTGAAAAACACAAAACGCCAAGGACAGAGCCCTTTCATGGCGGCGACCCCTCAAGCTGCCTATATACAGTTGGTTTTGGAGGGGATGTCAAGGACGGGGAGGGGGCACAAAATGCGGAGGACTGGTCAAAAAGAGAACAGTGATACTGGAGGGGACTCCGTCAACATCGTTCAGCAAAAAGCCAAAGACGGATCCCCTCCGACCTCCAGTCCACGCAACCCTCCCCGTCGGACATCAACAGGTCATGGGGAGGGACAAAACCCTCTCCCACAGCCAAGTGCAATCGACCCTTCTGGTAGCAAACTACATTGTGGAATCAATGAGTGTCATCGTCAAGCGCTATTACATTGACAGAGAAGAGGGTCTTCGCCTCAAGAGGAGGACGCAGCACGCCGCTTCTACCATTCCAGTGTCCACGGCGAGAGGTTACCTCCCGTTGCTCAGGTTTCAGGCCTAGCCAGCGGCCTTCGCGCCAAGAAGCAGCGCGAGCACGCTGCGATCCGGGATGCTGGCATGACCAAGCTGTACAAGCATGTTGCCATCACCTTCAAATACAACATGGACCTCCGAGGGGGCATATTTGGTGCCTCTTCAACTGGCAGTGATGTAAGTATCTTCTGCTCCTCATCGAATCAGTTCACTAACATCTGAACGCAGGGGGGGTGGTGAGGCATCATCCGAAGGAGTCTCATTTGATCCTGAGATTCAGATGAATCCAGGATCGTTGAGGGCGCGGTCCTGAGCACCATCTAAACAACTAAGCTCCGTGTGGTGATCATAAGTTACATACATGCCTAGATCACCTCACTGCGCGTAGTAGTTTAGATGGTGCTCAGGACCTCGCCCTCAACGATGCTAGATTCATCTGAATCTCAGGGCCAAATGGGCTCCCTTCTGGAAACACTACTGCGAGGCAAACGAGCTTCCCTATCTCCCCAAGTATGCCGAGTACGGGCGCGTCGCGAATGTACGGGGCTCGGTCAAGACGTTGAGCGAAAGTCCAATGACGGAGCCCTTTCAATTGGGCGGACCCAGGAAGTGGTGAGAAGGTCGAGGGGTTGACAGGTTGTCGGGATGAGGACGATTACGAAGAACAAGGGGAAAGGGAAGCTGGGCAGATTGGGGACAGTGGGAAGGCTGTGAGGGATGAGGACGATTACGAAGAACAAGAATGGACAAATAGCAACAAACACAAACTATCGAAACACTTCACTTGGCTTTCCAAACCCATCTTCACTCGCAGTCTAGAACATTCAAGTCATACTCAACTCACTCTCGCGATGACTTCTACCATCCATGCTTTGACTCACCACACACGTTTTGCTATCCCGTGTTTCTCATGATCACCATACATCTATATAGCCTCCATCCGGATAAAGTATACACCTCATAGCGCTCTACCTGTCAATTGCTACAGTCTGGGTAAGACTTGTGTATAAACCTCATTAATGATACTTAGTTCAACCCTCCAGGATGTTGAATCGCAGTGCAAGGTATTGTGTACTAACATGTCACATCGAGATATCAGATAAGGTATAGCAAATCACCAAAGACAGTTGTTGTCGGTAATCGGTCTCATATCTTTATGTGACCATTATTCTTCATTAAAACGCCGCCAGGAAACTCAAAAGCTATTTACTGAGCCATGGTGTTGGCCTTCAGCCGGGCGATGTCACCCCGACTTCGGTTGTCGTACTTGGCCGCGATGGCCTGGGCAGAGAAGGGGTGTGAGGGCCCGAACCTGGGCATCACCTGCTCCACGCGACGCCAGAAGCCGGGGGATCCTATTTCCATTGTCCTGACCACCGCATCCACGGCCAGATGCATGACTTTGACCTGTTGAGCCATGTTAGTTCAATGTCTTGATATGAGATAGAGGTAGGTGACTTACGTCTTTGGCGGTCCAGCGCGGGGTGCGAGGACGATCGGAGGGGGGCTTCTTCATGCGGTCCCAGCCGCGGAGGGTGCTGAGGGAGGTGCTGAGCTCCCCGAGGTTCTTGATGTCGGCGTATGAGACGCCATGGAGGCGGAGGAGCCGGACGAAGCTTCGCTTCTCCTCTCGGGCGACGGGCACCGGCATGAGTCTCTGGATGAGGGAGGGGGAGGTGATCTCGTACTCGTCGAGCACCGCGCGGATCTTCTGTGCCCGGGTCTGGGCCGGCAAGACTCTACTGAGGCCGCCCACCGAACCTCCCACTACAGCATCAGGAGATTTTCGGGCCGCACCGTCAGCAGCAGGAGATTTTCGACTGGCTCCCACCCAGCCTCCCACTTCAGCAGCAGGAGATTTCGGGGCCGCACCGTCAGCAGCAGGAGATTTTTGGCTGGCTCCCACCCAGCCTCCCACTACAGCAGCAGGAGGTTTTCGACTGGCGGAATCAGGAGAGGAAGACGTTGCCTCTTGCTGGTGGTCGGAGGTGGAGGAGATGGGAGGAGATGGGAACTGTGTGCTGGTGGGAGAATCTGTACAGGGTTAGTATGGTGCACCGAAGATACAGGTCAAATGAGAGTGGAATATAACATACAGGAGGCGCAGCAGGCGCAGCTGTTGTTTGAAGGGAGGCTTGAAGGTGGCAGACGCGAGAGGTAGTTGTGTGTAAAAAAGGGCAAGGGCTCGGCCTTGATGGGAGCGAGCTGGTCTTTGGCAAGTCAGAAAAAAGCCAAGTTGGAGCGCTATGGGATGAAAGACTAGACATACCTTGGTAAAGACTGCGGTAGATGTTGGGGGAGGGGAGGATGGGCGGAGGCAGATTCGGGGGTGGGTGGTGTAGAAAGCAGTCTTGTTCAAGTTAGATCAGGACTGTAAAGACCTGCAGCATGGAAGAGGGAAATAATACCTGGGCAGCTATAATCGCTGGAAAGACTTGATGGCGGTGGACTCGGGAGGAAGTTGTGTGTGAAGTTATCTTGTCCAAGTCAGCACATGCGATGCCAAGGCGAGATAGTGTAAGGGGAGGAAGCACACCTGAGTAGCCTAGGCTACTGGTTTGACTTGAGGTGAAGCTCGAAGCGCAGAGACAAGGGTTGGAAGGGAAAAAGTGTTGTTGGCACAGAGGCAGAGGCAGAGGCTGAGACTGAGACTGAGATGTGAAGTGATGAGGAGGAAGGAAAGAAGAGTAGAAGCCAGGCCAAGTTGCGGCGTTATATAGACGAGCCAGAGAGCTCTCGTCCTCAAATTTTACCATTTCCATTGTTCCTATTGCTCTGCAAGTGCTCAATAGGAACTCAGACGTAACGTATTGTTGCTATCGTCACTGGCAATAGCTCAGTGGAGTCACCAGCCACTCTGCGTTAGTAGTGGCCCCAGACAGGTGCGAATTATGACGACAGGGCCAATGAGGGACTGAGAAGATGGACGACAATAGAGGGACAAGAGCAGAAGAGGCCAAGGCAGCAGTGCACGAGGCCAAGGAACAATAGTAGAAGCGAGACAGGGAGAAGTAGACAATGGGATATCGTTGTAGGAGCAGACTTGATGGATAGTCAAAGGTCAAAGGAGGGAAATGGGCTTCTGATATAGACAGTCAGAGCAGTGCACAAGCTCAACAGCACCAAGGCAAGAACAGTATCACAAAGTCCCCCCCTGACCTATTGACACTGGAGGATGTAGAAGGCCCAAAAGGGAAGAGTACGTGCACCTAGACCTGCGAACTTGCCTCCACACGGGGAGCTTCATTACCCCCCGAAATACCTTGTAGGCAGGCCCAGCAGCCCTGTGCGTACATACATATATACATACATACATACATACATACATACATCGCTGGCAGGGGTGGGTTGAGCTGCAGCTGAGATCTGGGCCCTAGTGGGATCTTGGAGCTAGTGACGTCTGCAGGCGGGGACAGGGGCAGCCAGCCCGGGTAGGTCGACCCGCTTATGAGAGCGGGACTTTGCAGTGTTTGCAGTTGTCGTGATGTCTAGGGGAGGGAGAGGGGAGAGAGGAGAGAGGAGATGTGGCGGTTCATGGGTATTGGATGTAATATGAGATGTGATCTATTGCTTGACGTGCTACATGATGCAGACTGAGATCGTGTAAACTCTGATAAAGGCTATGCACCATGGACGTCTCAAAAAGCCGTAGTTTAGGTGGAGATGCTGGGGGTATTCGTTCAAGGTACAACTGTCAGGCTGTGAGTATGGCCAGATCAGAGTGTGGTACGGCGAGATGCCTCTTGACACCATGGATGTAATCTGTCACTGCATAATTGACTTGTCACCAGCACAAAGGGTGAATCACAGGCACTGCAGAAGACGGAGGTAGTGGCACTTGCAAGCTGTCCGGAATGGCGGTGATAAAGTGAAAGACGTCGTGGGAGAGAGGACCAGTTACCAGAATACCGGCAGCTCAACTCCGTGGTAGCACAGTAGCAAAGTAGTACAGAGCCCAAAACCACCAAAGGCAACGACCACCAAAACAAAGAAGCCTCCGTACCTAGATCTGTAGTGACATTGCTCGATGTAACGTTTTTTTGGCGGTTTATGGAATAGGTTAGTGCTCACGCCGCAATCCAGGAACCCAGAAAACACCAAACTTCTCCACCAAACCGAATTCGGATATCTCTCGTAGCAGACGCAGTAGTTCAATCTTTATCGGAGCACCAATGCAGACACTTCGCAAGAGAAGCATCATTCCACCATTAACGGCCATACTAGCTCTTTATCCTGCTTTGTACTATCCGCACGCGTACCTACAGGCAGCCAGTCCGGTCGATTTCGCCAGAGAAAATCAAACAAGTCAGTCATGCTGCGACTTCGGTACCCAGCATAACACTTGAGCATCCAGACCACCGGGAATCATATTCCGCAATGCAAGTACTCACATCTTGACGTCTTCACCAGCATCTCCTCTCATCATAATATGCATCTGCTAACTTCTTTGTTGAGGACACCCCTTGTTTTCCCGTCGAGCCTTGCTCAAGCAAACGAACGAACGAGACACCCACTTCCAAAACCCGTTTTCCGCTCCCGTCAGCTGTCTGCTCCTCCTCCCTCTCATTTCTTCTTCTTCGCCTTGAAAAATCACATCGTTTGAGATAGAAGACAGAAAAACGTTTCTTCTTTCGAAACTACAAAGGCCACCTTTCCTCGTCAGGACGTAACTGCATACCAGCTACCCAGACTTGTGTGGTTTCACGGCATTTGTCATGTAGCCGCGTGGAAGCCCGCGTGGGAGGCGTCAAGGATGTGCGGTATAGTAGAGGGTGTCAAAAACGAAGTGAGACAGAAAACGGTCGTGGGGGGGAGCGAGGGAGGGTGTGTTGGTAGTCATGGTATGTGTGTGTGGCTCAAGCCATGTGATGAGATGCAACCTCATACTTGCGTGCGAACAGACCAGATGCAGATATCGCTTTTGGGAAATACGACGATCAGAAGGAGAAAACGGGTGCTAGATCTAAGATGATCATCAAACTGGTAATGTCGGCTTCGGGAAGACTCGACGGAGACGAGATTGGAGGAGCTCACGGGCTAACGGGTTACAGATTCTTGTTTGCAGAAGATCGAGTTTCCCTTTTCAGGAGATGAACACCACGGAAATGACGAACTCTCTCGCCATAACAATATAACATACTCCCGACCGAAGCCCAAGCCCAAGTCACTTTCCAAGATCCCCTCAGTTCGCCTCATCGGCTATCTCGAGGCCGCCATGCTGCACGAACCAGCTACATACAGACATACATATACATTTACATGTACATACCTTACATGACGCACTCGACGACCTCCACGTCTCCACACACGGCACAATAGACATGCATTGGTGAGAACGTCACGGGAAGGCTATCGCACATTGACGCTGGTTCGACTGAAAGGAGTAAAGCCTGTTTTTTTTCTAGCAGCTCCTGGCTTCTGGCTTCTTCTTCTCTTGTTCTTCTTCTCTCGGGGAAACAATGCGAAGGAGGGTCCTCATGCAAGGAGTGATCTGTCACTCACGTTTCTTTTTGCGGAGGGGGAATCCTTTCCGCAGACAGACAATTCGTCAATTACAAGAACCCTGTTTCTTGGACTTTGCTGGGACGTACTGTACGTGTAATCACTTGATCAAGAACGCGTGTATTATTCCGCGATGCATCGCATATAATACCTGTTGTGTATCCCATCAAAACATCTCTGTACGCATTCTTACTTATCCCCCGGGGCTTTCGGTTCCAGGGGCCGAGACAACGACCGTTGTGAGAAAAGTGCCAGAGCCGTTGGGAGGAAACAAGGCTTGCAGGGGTAGTCCTCTCTTGGACCGTGGCTAGCTGGACTTGGATTGTCTTGCATTCTCAGCCCGTTTTTATCTTGCGTGCATATCAGGATCGAACCGACACCCGGGGGCCGGGTCGATGGACAATTGAGATATGAGTGAGATTTTTCCTTCCTTTTTTTTATCTCCGAGAACAGGTCATATTCGATATGTATTATGCATGAAGCGAGCGTCATTCGATAGCCATTGAAACGAACGGCGCTTCCGGTTCGTTTCCCCGTTTGGTTTGATGGGCTTTTTGAAGATCTCCTCGTGTTGATCTGAGATCAGATCCGATCAATGTTTCATTGCATTAGCCAGCCTCGTTTTCAGCGGGGGCCATTTGTAGCTGTTGCAGCTGTAGTTAGGTGGTATGTAGGTAATATCGCTCATTCAAACCACATTGTGATGGTGTTGATGAACCGCGAATTGGCGTTGACGATGGCTTCATTCTGTCTCTCCTCTGCAGCTGCTACAAACGTGCTTTCACCACGTGTGCCCCTGAACTAACCGTCTTGTTCCCCCCTCAAATCTCTTTCCTGTATCTTGTCAACGACAATTGGGCGACTGCATGTTTGTCCAAACCCACACGTTTTGCCCGAAAATGGCATCAGCTACATGAATGTGGCTTTGATCTGCCTCCCTATTTCCTGCGTGGCGTTTTCTCGCAACTTCGCGTCCGGAAACGTGAAAGGGATGGAGTGTACTTGGTTAGAACGTCTACCTAGGCATGGGCCGTACCGCTCACACCGTCTTTAAAAAAAAAAAAGTCTTTAGCTTGAACCTTTGTCCTAAGGTTAAGTTGAGCTGAGTTGCTTTGGTGGGATATGATAGGTGCTCTTCAGTGTGTGGCTGCTTAGTTTCAGTTCGCAGTGTAAGAAGCAAACGTGCGAACAACACTAGGCTACTGCAAGACTTTGCACTGACAGTCCATACTTTGAAGGAGCACGGAGTACATGAACCAAATGGGGAACCTGTCTCGTTCAATGTACCCGACACTGTGGATGGCTTGAGGCACTGATAAGACTCGGCCGAGAGTTTTGTGTATGGGTGCAGGGTAGCTTAACAGCCATGACGAGACACGCACAATAAAGACTGATGGCACTCACTAAGCCACATTACACTACTTACATATATCACATAAGAGAGACATAGATATGAAGGAGGAATATGATCAGCTTTGACATGTTTTTAAAGTACCGGACAATCTCAAGCCCAGTACAACGCGTGACTATTATCGTGCCCCTAAAACTCCGATCATGTCCATTCTAAATATGCGAGCCCCCAGACAACACCCAATGACAGACAAAGAAAACACCACGCATCTATAATCCTCCTACTCTACAGTCTACACTCAATCCTCCCACTCCTCATCTAGTTGGTCAATCAACCGATTCTCGGCATCTCTATCCTGCTCTCTCCGACTCGGACTCGAGTGTACTTGTTGGTAGCCACGTCGAACGGTAAGTCGTCTCAGACAAGCCGTGAAGCAGCAAAAACAGAGTTCCTATAAAACCAAAAGAGAAAACCTCACCTGTCAGCCCCCAAATTTCTTTTATATATGAAAACAAAAATGATAACGGGAGCAAAAAAATGCAAAAGACACAGAGAGAGAAACAAAGAAATAAACTCAGGGAGAGTATCGCTCGGGCTTGGAGCCGGGGAGGAGGGGACGACGCACGCAGATGAAGCTCCAGATTCCCGCCCATAAGCTGTAGTTGGGGAGTTGTCGCCAGCCGCGGGCATGGGTCACCGTTCGGTTGTAGAAGATGCCGCCGAGGAAGTACACGAGCACCGCGATCACCACGATGAGCCCGAAGATGCTGCCGGGTCCGACGCTACCGGGCTTGTGCGGCTCTGCGTGGGCGCATGCGTGCGAGGATCGGACCTCGAAGAAATAGGCGCACTCGTCTGGGTCTGTGCCGACAAACGAGACGCTGGCAGAGGTCGTGGTTGGGTCTCTGT